AGAAGAGTCTGCAGGGGTGTCCATGGGTTTCACTGGGCTGAGAAGAGACCAAAAGTGATGGGAGAGACAAGGGCAGAGGGCCTGAGGGCAGATCTGGACTAAGCAGAGCCCCCGAGATACAAGAGCCCTGGCAGTGGGATGAGGCTGGGGTCCTTGGAATGAAGACCAGCTGCTCACCAATGATTGGGAGTGGGCCGGGTACCTCTGGGGAGCCTAGGGGCCTCTGGAAGCTAGGCATCCTTGGAGAGGCTGGCGGTGGGGGCGGGCGGTCCCCGGGAAGAGTAATAAATTTGCTTGGATTTTAAAGCTTGCCTAGAATTTACCAACCAGAGACCAAGGAGGAGCTTAAGCTTCCATCTGGGAGTCAGCATCCATAGAAGGATCACCATGCAGGACAAGACCTCAGAGAGGCTGTCCTCAGAGCACAGAGTCCTCTCACCCCAGGCGATAGAGTACCCCCCAGGACACAGAGACTCCCCCAAGGGCACAGAGTCCCCCAGGACACAAATTTCCCCCCAGGACACAGAGACCTCTCCCCCAGGACACAGAGTCCTGCCCCAACCCAGGACACAAGAGTCACCCCCTCAGGACACAAGAGTTCTCCTCCCAGGACACAGTCCTCCCCCCAGGACACAGAGACTCCCCCCACGACACAGAGTCCATTTCCAGGACACAGAGGCGCCCCCCACCCCAGGCAAAAAGAGTCACCCCCTCAGGCCACAGGACACTGAGACTCCCCCCAGGACACAGAGTCCATCCCCAGGACACAGAGCCCCCCCAGATCACAGTCTCCCCCCTAGATCAGAGTCCCCCCAGGACACAGAGGCTCCTCTAGATCACAGTCTCCCCCCTAGATCACAGAGTCCCCCCCAGGACACAGAGGCCCCTCCCAGATCATAGTCTCCCCCCTAGATCACAGAGTCCTCCCCAGGACACAGAGGCCCCCCCACCCAGGACACAGAGACCTCTCCCCCAGGACACAGAGTCCCCCCCCAGGAAAAAAGAGTCACCCCCTCAGGACACAGGACACTGAGACTCCCCTCAGGACACAGAGTCCATCCCCAGGACACAGAGCCCCCCCAAGATCACAGTCTTCCCCCTAGATCAGAGTCCCCCCCAGGACACAGAGACTCCCCCAAGGACACAGAGTCCCCCAGGACACAAATTTCCCCCCAGGACACAGAGACCTCTCCCCCAGGACACAGAGTCCTGCCCCAACCCAGGACACAAGAGTCACCCCTTTAGGACACAAGAGTTCTCCTCCCAGGATACAGTCCTCCTCCCAGGACACAGAGACTCCCCCCACGACACAGAGTCCATCCCCAGGAAACAGAGGCGCCCCCCAGATCACAGTCTCCCCCCTAGATCACAGAGTCCCCCCCAGGACACAGATTTCCCTCCCCTCCCAGGACACAGAGTCCCCCCCATCCCAGGACACAGAGACCTCTCCCCCAGGACACAGAGTCCCCCCCCAGGAAAAAAGAGTCACCCCCCCCAGGAAAAAAGAGTCACCCCCTCAGGACATAGGACACTGAGACTCCCCCCAGGATACAGAGTCCATCCCCAGGACACAGAGCCCCCCAGATCACAGTCTCCCCCCTAGATCAGAGTCCCCCCAGGACATAGAGGCTCCTCCAGATCACAGTCTCCCCCCTAGATCACAGAGTCCTCCCCAGGACACAGAGGCCCCCGCCAGATCAGTCTCCCCCTTAGATCACAGAGTCCCCCCCAGGACACAGATTTCCCTCCCCCTCCCAGGACACAGAGTCCTCCCCCCAGGACAGAGAGATTCCCCCCCAGGACACAGAGTCCCCCCACCAGGACACAGAGGCCCCCCCCCCCCCGAGATCACAGTCTTCCCCCCAGATCACAGAATCCTTCTCCCAGATCAGAGTCCCCTCCCCCAGGATACAGAGTACTTCCCCAGATCACACAGTCCACCCCCAGGACACAGAGGCCTCCCCCCCAGATCACAGAGTCTCCCCCCTAGATCACAGAGTCCCCCTACCAGGATACAGAGTCCCCCAGGACACAGTTCCTACCCAGGATATCGAGTCTGGCCAGGACACAGAGTCTGCCCAGAACCCAGAGTTCCCCAGGACACAGAGTCCCCGCTAGGACACACAGCCCCTGGTTGCCCCCTGACAGAGTCTCCCCTGGAGGGGCATCAGGCTGCGGGTCGGCGTGGTATTGGGGCTGTGGTGGCCGCGTCTCAAGTGTGGGCAGGGCTGCCGCCCAGAGGTCTGTGGTGGAAGTCAGGGCAGACCCCTGAGAACAGGAAGGAGGCAAGTGGCTCTGAGCCTCGGGCCTGCGTCCAAGGAGAGGGCTGTCGAGGCCCTGCGTTTCCAACGATGATGAGCATGTCTCTGCAGCTGGAGGAAAGCACTCGGGCCGGAAGAAATGTCAAGAGCACAGCTTCATGTTTAAACTCTCCAGTACGAGCCATTACACATGATGACGTGGAATAGGACAGTGTGAGGGGGTAGAGGCCGAGGTCTCAAGACACCGTCTCACCAACATCCGCAAAGAGGGGAACGCAGTGCTTTAAATGAAGGGCTGTCGGGCGGAGACAAAGGTGGGGTGACAGCGAGTTCCACACACAGACACACAGGAGACACAACAGGAGCTGGCACGGGCTTCCAGCCATAGCTGGTGTCACGTTTGAGTCCTGAGATCAAAGGGGATGCAGTCATCCCCTGGGGACCACGGGCTGTGGGCAAAGCCAGCCGAGCTGGCAGGGCAGGCAGAGCCCAGCTCATGGATTCTCCCATAGGCTCTCCTGTAACCTTTCCGCTGATGCATGTCAGAGCTCTGAGATAGGAAGGGAAAGTCCTGCTGAATGAAGGATCTTTACTCCTTTGGTTTCCATCAAGGCACAGGTAGAAGCAAGTTTCTTACTTTAACTTCTGGGGAAGTCTCTGGGTGCTTCTGTACACCCACATGGGGAATGCTCTGAACTGAGGTGGGGGGAGAACATGTTCTTCATGATTCTACAAGAATTCTTCATTTCTTGTCTAGTTTAATGTTATTTTAAAATAGTGCTTGTGGTTTAATCATTCTTTTTCTTGAGATCTTGCTACCAGATTTAAAAATCTGCTGCTAGGAGCCAAGATAATTTGCTCATGTAATTGTTTTTGAAACAGATCTTATGCAAGACATTTTGTGCTGGTGAAGCTGAGCTGTGTATCTGCTGACTTGGGGCCAGGCACCAAGAAGGACCCCAGCTGATGAGCAAAGTTGCACCCTTGCCAGGGCCTGGATCTCAGGCCATGTGGCTGTCCTCATGACTCAGAGGAGGTGGGACTCGACGCTTGTGGGCGGAGGGGCTGGCGGGGTGCCGACTCTCCGCTGCTGAGATAAGCAGTTCCTCTGGCTGGCAACATGTGTCCCTAGTCCCCGGGGAGGGGGCCCAACTTCCTCTCCAGCAGCCCCCCTCCTCCTGCCCCGTTGCTTGAAGGCTGTCCCCTGGAAGAAGCTCTGTCCACCCTGGGCTTCTGCTGCAAAAAACACTGGGGCTTCAATCTGGAGAAGGGACAAAAGGACTGATGGAGGCCGGGGAGGCACCCGCAGACCCATCTCAGCTGTGATATCCCACGTTCCTGGAGCCATGAATCCAGCAAAAGTCGGGGTGGGGGAAGAGATTTCAGTCAGAATTACCATCAAGTTAAAACAATGTTCAGCAAGTATGGCCACAGTGTGCTTGAAGTCGGTGGCTGGTAGGAACTTATGAGGAAAAGAAACTGGTTCCTGTCTTCTTTTTCTTATAACTCAGCAGCGAGGACCATGTAGGCCTCCAGCGAACAGAAATAAATGTATAACTTGGATTTTGCACAATTGGGCCCTGCTCCACAGCACACTGCCTGCCCACTGGCTAGCCCGAGTCCTGCAAGCAGAGCAGAGGGGTGCGGACCGGAGATGGCTGTGGGGTCCCTCCAGGGCTACCCTGGGAACCTGCTGGTTTGCAGGACCCCTGGTTAGCCAGCAGCCTCTCTTGCTGCCTGTTCACTGTATTCCAGAACAAAAGCGCATCTAGTTTCTTTTTTTTTTCCTGGGGCATTTTATTCTTTTATTCCTTCTGCTTCCCCTCTTTCTTTCTCTTGTTTTTACAATCTCCCTGTAATGACTAATTGGCAGTGTTTCCCGGCTTTTTTTATGTTTCTCTTGCTCTGGTTACAAGTCGTACTAACCCAGCAGTATCCACAGGGACCAATAGACGGCCAACATTCCCAGTGATATACTGCGCTCCCCGTTCTTTAAAGTGTAGCACATTTACAGGGAAATGCACACGGCGCGGGGGCCCACTCCCGGGGTCGCTGGCGCTGCGCTCGAGGTCCCTGCTCTACGCCCCCTGGGTGCGCCCCCTCCCCTCACAGCCTCTCCCTTCGCGCCCCCTCCCTGCGCCTCCCCCAGCTCCCCCTTTCTGCGCAGCCCCTTTCCTGCGACCTCTCCCCCACGGCCCCTCCCCGCGCTCTCCTTCCCCATGCAACCACCTCCTAGCGCCCCCTCCCCTGCGACCCCTCCCCGTGAGCCCCCCTCCGAGCGCCCCTCCCCGTGCGCCCCCGCGGTCCCTCCTCCGCGCGCCCGCGGTCCCTCCTCCTCTCGCCGCCTCTGTGCGCCCGCGGGGCCGCCTCGGTGCCCGTTTACTGCGCGCGGCAGCCACTCTGGAGCCGGCGCACATCTGGATGGAGTCAGGCCCAGCGCCCGGGCCGGCGCCCAGCCAGTCCCCACCCGCTGGATTTCCTGATGTAAACAGAGCAAGAACACAGCAACTCTGCTGAATGTGTCACGCGGCGCTCTTTATCTGCTTGGGGTCAAGACGGCGACTTAGAAAAACAGAAGCGTTGCTTTGAATTTAAACAGCTAAGAGCCAGAGCCGAGACTGGTCCTGCAGGGGGGAGGGCGAAGGCCTCCAGACCCACCTCCCGCTTTTGTGCCTACTTGTTCCACTTTATGGTAATTTGGGGGCTAATTTCATTATCTACAGCCGAATTGGAAACAAGATGCTGTTTCTGCTAATGGTGCTGACGGCGTGTGTGAGTTTCTGTGCAGTGGGTAGAACCTTCCACCCGCCCCCGCCGCCCCCAGCCGCCCCCGCCGCTCTCAAAGCGCGTTATGACGCTAATTCTCGCAGCCGGAAGCCTCCTGCCATGTTTCTGAGAGGGCCGCATCGCTTTCTGTCACAGAGCGCCGACCAGGAGCGCCTTCCCTTCCTGGGTTCCCAGGGGGGCCCAGGCCAGGGCTGGAGGGTCGACTTCCGGCCCCGCTCGGCGGGTGTATGTGCTTCCTTGGCCGTTTCTGGCCCCGTCGTCTGCGCCCGGGTGCCTGGCTGGCCCCTGTCTTTCCCTGGAGCTGGTGGTTCCTTCTCTCCTCTGGCAGGGGATGAGGGCTTAAGGATTTGGGGTTCTTAATATTCATTAGCTAGAAACAGCCAGCTATAAACTATGACAAAGTCATATTGAAAAGATGGTAAAGAGGGACAATAGAAAATGATGGCGGTGCTTGGGTTGTCTTCACCAACAATTAACACGAAGTGTAGGCGGTTTTCACCTCAGTCCCAAAGTGTTTCAGCCGCCCGGTCTGGAGATCTGGCCGGGGGCGTTGTCCTGGCCAGGGTTCCCTGGCCCCGAAGCCGGGACTTGTTTTTTTTTTTTTTTGAAAAGTCCTTAAGTGGAACTGAGAAGGAGCTGCGCTTGTCTGAGGGCAGGCTTGGCGGTGGGGATGGGGCAGGCTGACTGGGGCCGGGGCAGGCTGACTGGGGCCGGTAGCGTTTCCGCTGATCAGCTTCCTGGGGAGTTTTGTCTAAACGTTTGAGGTCAATGGGCCCAGGCGGTGGCTGGACGTCAGGGCGCTGGAATGTTGAGGAGCCTCGGATGCATCACAGTGCTTTGAATAGGCTACCAGGGCACTGTTTCCTCCCACAGACTGTATCTTGATGAATTTGCCAGAAATTGGGCCAAGACTCACAGAGAGGACCGAGGTCCAATTTGGCGAGTTGGCTGTTAGTGGCTCCGCTTGGTGGTTTGGTTAAGAAGATGGAGCCAAAACCCAGAGTGAAAATGAGGTTCCTTTAGAGCCGCCAAAGGCAGACGTGAGGTTCGCCTGATGCGCCCCACCCTGTGCTCTGTTTACCTGCTGAAGCGTTGATGGCAGGATTCTGCAGTGGCTTCCTGTGATGGAGCGGTCCTGCCTTTCAGAGGTCTGGCCGCGACTGCCGGACCTCTCAGTCTATTCAAAAAACAATCGCGTCTCCCTTTTCACACCGTTAGATTTTTACCAAAGTTTCAGGGGACAAGCAGGAGGTTCCAAAGAGACCAGACCAGCATGGCCCCTTGCTTACTTATTCCAGCCTCAGTTTGCTCATCTCTAACGGATAAGGAAATCTCCTTCTCCAGGTTAGCAGAAGTTACACCCGGTGATGCGTGTGAGGTCACCGCCTGTTAACCAGGGTTACTACACAGGGGTTTGTAAGAAAGGCTTTTATGCTGCAGTTGGGTTTAGTGGTTCTGAATTTTTGTTAGTTCCTATCTATTACAGACAGGAGGACAGTTCTGACGTCATGCCTTCCATTCCACACACTCACCTTGTGTTTTCCAGGAGCTCCTTGATTTAATGATGGGACAAAGCATTTGAAATCAGGAGCTCACCACATTTTCCTGCTGTGCTCAGGGGCCAGCAGGAACCGTGTGTGTGTGTGTGTGTGTGTGTGTGTGTGTGTGTGTTCAACACTGGCCCTATCACAGCTGTTTTACTGTAATTGAAACTTTTATTAAGGAGGCTGCAGATTCACATGTGGTTGAGAGGGCTGTGTACTCTTTACCTAGTTTCCCCCCACGGTAACATTTTGCAAAGCCACAGAAGGATGCTCAGCCAGGACATTGATATTGACACAACTCACTCACCTCAATACGGTGACTTGCACTCAGCGTGTGTCTATTTGTTCCACATGGCTGTATCCATGTGTGGGTCGTGTGGACACCACTGCAGTCCAGACACTAACTAAAACAGTTCCACTGACACAGGGTCCCTCTGTGGCCTTTTGTGGCCACATGCCCCCCTCCTCCTGTCCCAGTTCTTGGCAACCACCAACCTGTCCTCTGTTTCTAAAATTCTACCCTATGCATGATCCTTTGGGGACTGTTTTTCTTGCTTAGCATAATTCTTTGGAGAGTCATCCAAATTGTTACATGTATTAGTAGTTTGTTCCTTTTTATTGCTGAAAAATATTCCATGGTATGACTGTTTTGTAGTTTTTATCCATTCACCTGCTGAATGACATCTGGGCTGATTCTAGTTTTAGGCTATTACAAGTAAAACTGCCGTAATATTTGTATACAGGTTTCTGTGTGAATGTTAGTTTTCACTTCTCTGGTATAAATGTCCAAAAGGACCATTGATGATTTGTATGGTAGTTTAATGCTTAGTTTCAAAGAAACTGCCCAATTGTCCTCAAGACTGGCTGTGCCATTTTACCTTCCAACCAGCGATGTATGAATGACCCAGTTTCTCCGCACCCTGGCCAACCCTTCAGTGTTCTGGTAAGTGTGTAGTGGCCTCATTGAGGCTTAAATGTTCATTTCCCTAATGCTTAATGATGTTGACTATTGTTCCCTCGTGCTCGCTTGCCATGTATGTATGTTCTTCAGTGAAATATCACTATGCTTTGTGCTCATTTTCTGTTTGCATTGATTTTTTTTACTGTTAAGTTTTGAAAGTTCTTTCTGTATTCTAGATACTGGTCCTTTGTCACATGCTGGATTTGCCAACACCTTTTCTCCATCTGTAGCTCCTCTTTTCATTCTCTTCACATGAACTTTCACAGAGCAAAAGGTTTTAGATTTTGATGAGGTCCAATGTATTGAATTTTCCTTGTATGGCAGTGGTTTTGGTGTCAAGTCTAAGAACTCGTCGTTTAACCTTAGAGCCTGAGGATTTCTCCGCGTCCTTTTTATAGAATGTTTGTAGTTGTACATTTTACACTCAAGTCTATGACCTAGTTTGAATGAACTTATATATAAGACGTGTAGGGTGAGTCCCCTCCCCTCCTGCCCAGTTTCATCAGAACCACTTTTGGAGAAGGCTAGCTTTCCTTCCCAGAGTCACTTCTGCACCTTTGTCAGACCTCCGCTGAGAATATTTATCTGGCTCTGCTTCTGGGCTCTTCTGTTCCTTAGATCTGTGTGTCTGTCCCACTGTCTCCCACTACAACTCTTTGTGATTACTGTAGCTGTGTTATGTAACTTGACGTCAGACTGTTTCCTCCCACCTTAGTCTTCTTTTTCAAGTGATTTTACCTTTGCCTGTGTCTTTCCATAACAATTTTAGAATTAAGTTGTCTATCTACAAAAAGTGTTGCTAAATTTGGATAGGAATTGAATTAAACCTATAGATTCATTTGGGACTTAACATTTTTATGATGTTGAATTTTCCAGTGCATAAATATGGTATGCCTCAATGTTTGTCTTCTTTCATTAGCACTTTGTTTCATTAGCATACACTTTGTAATTTTTAGCGTACAGTTTCTGTACATATTTTGTTAAGTGTATATCAAAGTATTGTGTTTTCTTTACAGTGATTACAAATGATTATTTGTTTTAAATTTAGTAATTTCATGTTCATTGTTGTATGTAGAAATGCTATGATTTTTGTGAGCTGATCTTGTATCTTGTGACCTTGCTATACTTACTTTTTACTTCTACAATTTTCTTTTGTAGATCCTCTTGGACTTTTACAACAATCATGTCACCTACAAATATAGTTTAACTTCTTCCTAATATCTTTTATTTTTCTTGTCACTGCAGTGGCAGAACTTCCAGTGCCATATTGAATGACAAGGGTAGAACCTTGCCTTATTCTTGATTTTAGTGGGAAAGCACACATTCTTTCACCATGAAGAATGATTGTAGCTGTAGATGCTAGATGCTCTTTGTCAAATTGAGATCATTTCCCTCTCTTGCTGATTCCCACCCCCGCCTTTTTTTAAAATCATAAATGAATGTAGTGTTTTAGTTGCTTTGTTGTGTCTAGCTCTTTGTGATGCCACAGACTGTAGCCTACCAAACTCCTCCGTCCGTTGGATTCTCCAGGCAAAGATACTGGAGTGGGTTGCCGTTCCCTTCTCCAGGGGATCTTCCCGAGCCAGGGATCAGAAGTGGGTCTCCTGCATTGCAGGCAGATTTTTTACCATCTGAGCCACCAGGGAAGCCCTAAACGAGTGTAATGTTTTGTCAAATGCTTTCTCTGCATCAAATAATAGGATTGCTTTCTTTTGCTTGTTGATATGGTAGAATATATTGATTGATTTTGAAATACTGAGTAGCTTTGCATATTTGGAATAATCCCAGTTGGTCACTTTGTACAGTTCTTTCTATACACTATTGGATTTAATTTGCTGATATTTTATGAGGATTTTGTGTCTAGGTTCATTAGTTATATTGATCTATAGTTTTCTTTTATTGTCTTTGTCTAGTTTTGGTTTCAGGATAATACTGATATCAGAAAATGAGTTGGAAAGTGTTTCTTCCTTTTTCATTATCTGGAAGAGATTATATAAGATTAGTTTTAAACTTTTCTCTTATAATTTTCTTTGCCCTGAAGTCTACATTATTAGCTATTAATAGAGTTATTACTGCTTTTTAAAAAAAATCATGTTTATATATTTATTTCCATATTTTTTGCTTTCAACCTGCCTGTGTCATTACATAAGAAGAGAGGTTGTTTTGGTAAAAGCAGTGTACATTTGGAGCATGTTTATTTTTCCAGCCTGTTAATCAGTATCTTTTGATTAGTGTATTTGGACAATTTGCATTTAAGGTGGTTTCCAGGTATGTTAGTGCTTAAAAGGACTGTTTTATTATTTGTTTTCTCCAACTCTTGATCCTGTATTTCTTTGCATTTTTCCTGGTACGTTAGCACTATTTTAGGATTCCCAAAGTGATTTATCATTATTTTAGTGTGTCTCTGTGTACAGGTTTTGTAGTGGCTGCTCTGGGTATCCAGATGGACATATGTGACTTGTAACACTTAACTGTATCAATATTTTATATTTTCAGGAGTGAAAACTTCACATCCATTTAGTTGCTTTTTCCTTCCTTGCTTTTAAATAATTTTTTCTTATGAATTAGAACATGTTATGATTTCTGTTTTATCATTGAATATAATTGATAAAACTTGAGAAAAGGATTGTTGTGTGTGCCCAGTTCTAATCTTTCTGTTGCTCCTTCTTCCTTCCCAGTTCTTTCTTCTATCATTCCCTGTCTGCTTGAAGGAACTTGTTTAGAAGATCTTTAAGGGTAGCCTGTTGTTCAGTTGCTCAGTCATTCTGACTCTTTTTGACCCCATGGACTGCTGTTAACTGACTCATGAATGTTTCCCTTTCTGTGAAGTTTGTTTGAACTTGGTACCACGCTTGCTTGTTTAGCATCCAGGCATTTTTCATGGTGGCAAAAGCATGCTTCTGGGTGGGTTCCTTCACTTTCATATTACAGTTCTGTTTTAATTTAATGACCCGACACCCCGGGGCTCTGCTGGCTGTGTTACCTGTGTTACTTCCCAACAATACCGATGTTCAGAGAAGATTAACTGGAAATTTGCTGTGAGTGTCAATCTTTTGTTTCAAAAGAAATTCATGTTTACAGCAAATTGCTTTTAAAAAGTCACTGTGGAAACTCCTCCTTGCCATTCAAGGAAAGAACTGAAGAAAAATTAGTATATTGTGTTAAGAATTACCCTTTGCAGTGTCTACTGAACAGCTTTTAGGATAGAATTCATTTTGCCTCCCCAGTTTTTACTTTAGTATTAATTTTCAGTTATACAAGAGTATTGAAGTAGATGATGCTTTTGGTTAAGCAATTTGTGGGTCAGTAACCTGTTAAGTAATTTGTCTTTGAATCTTCAGTTACTTCAGTAACATTTCTACCTATTCTGAGAAGGCTATTTAAACCAGTTAGTTCTTCTCTGAACTATCAGATTTAAAATTGCTGTAAATGAATGTTGCTTTTTTACTCATGTGAATTGAACCTGCCTTACATCCACAATGTGATATCCTGCTCGCATGCACAAGACTCCAGACACTGTCTCTATAAACATGTTTTATTTAAAAAAAAGCTGGAGACTATTTCACTTATGGAGTTGTTTCCATGTTATTATTGAAAGAAAATTCAGAGTAAGGCATTTCTTGGAAAACTAATGCTGGAACTGTATTACTGATTTAGATAACTTCCCAAATAACTCAAAATATTTTACGATATTTCTTTACCTGCCTTTTTTTCCCACTAGAAAAATCAAGGCCATTGATCCTATAGAGAGACACCTCAGAGATCTCATGGGTTTGGTTCCAGGCATCGCAATGAAGCAAATACCACAATACAATGAGGCACGCATGTGTTTTGGTTTCCCAGTGAAAATAAAAGTTGTTTATTCTATATTATAGTCTATTAAGTGTGCAACACTAGTACATCTGAAAGAACAGTGTGTGTAGCTTAATTTAAACATACCTTCTTGCTAAAAAATGCTTACCATCAGCTGACAATATAGAGTGGCTATGAATCTGCACTTTGTAAAAAAAAGTAGCATCTCTCTTTGAGGCACAAAAAAAGTGCACCTGTGCTCCTTTCATCCAGGTGGGACACGCCCACGACCTGGACATTCCATCCCAATGGTGCCGACACACCGCTGTGAATTTCAAAGGGACCCAGGAGAACCAAGAAAAGTGATTTAGAGCTGGCCGTCTAATGATTCTGGATGGGGGCTGTTGTGAGAGGCTTAGTCGGCCAGACAAGAGGCCTAAGGTCAGATTAGAGATGGAAGATGTGTGTTAACTTGGACTTGAGGCCCCAGACGATGAGGAAGAAGTCCCATGGGTCAATTTCTGGTGTATCTCTGTCAAAAGATATTTTTCATGAAAAGGTGAAAGCGAGATTCTCATAGTGATGTAAACATGTGCCTGTGTTGAAGATTTTGTCTTAACTCTCTAACCACTGAGGGAACCAGGCAGGTGTTAAAAATGGTCCAAAGGAAAGGTGAAAAGCACAAGTTTATTTGGAGTAAGTTTGTGTGGGCAAACCTGATTTTTCTACAGGAGCAGTAAACTCTACTGAAATTCCACAGTACAACTGCAGTTTGCGTACCCATCCTTCTCCGCAGTTTATGAAGAGATGTAAAATAGCTGGCTGACAGTAAGCCAGGTGAAAAGTCAGGCTGTTTTGGGGGGGGGGGGTGTTGCTGTGGACTTGCAGCATTGTCATCAAAGGACATTTTTTCCTCTCCTGTCTAGGTTCCTTCTGCTGCTCTACACTCATCATTGCCACCCCCCACCACCCCAAAAAAGTGAACTGAACCAGAGAAGGAGCACAAGACAAAAGTCCTGCTTGTGCCATCCTTCAGTTCCCTGGGAACAAACCAAACAAGTGAATATACATATTACATTGGAATGTGAGTTACAGTGGAGTGGGCATTCCGTTCTCAGTTATGCCATTTTATCGCTCTGCCAGCGAGACTCTGTCAAGCCCCGTGAGTTACTGAGTGAATCCTGCCTGGTGCAGGAAAATCAGAATCCACCACTCAGAAAGTAACAAAGAAGTAGATAAAAGAAAGTAACAGAAGTAGGTAAACTCGTCACAACGTCACATCCCGCAGAAGAGGAGTATGGACCGCAGCATCTTTTCACTCGCCTTCTGATTGCAGAGTCTTCCTGCCTCCTCTCAGAACTGCGTCCTGCTGGCCCTGTGGACGGTGAGGGAGGTGGATGCCTGCAGAGGAGGAAGGGACTTCACACCCTGGCTTTGCTGCCAACAAGCCACGAGTCTGGGCAACTGGCAGCTCGCTAAAGGCAGGTCAGATGGGTCATCTCTGAAAGCGGGGCATGTTCTGCCCCTCTGGTGAGGGTTCAGAATGTCTTTCCTAAGTACCAGTGAGAACTAAACAAGGCCACAGATGTAAAGCTCGGACATGAGATGCCCGGTAGATGATGTCAGGGCCTCTCGATTACTGTTGTTACTGGTGACTCAGCGGCTTCCCACGGGGCCTGCGGCCGGGAGGAGGGAGGACGCTCATTCCGCCCCTCCTGCGGGTGCCCCGCTGCGCCTGAGTGGGGGACAGGGAAGGGCCCTTGGGGGTCTGTTCAGGACCATTTACTGGAGGAAGATGTGGCCCGCCTGTTGGTGACCGAAGCCTTGTAAACACTCCTGCAGCCCAAGAGATGGGGGAACGTGTGACTCCTGGAGCCTCCCTTGTCGTCACGATGAGATGACATGTCGGTTTCATTTCAGACTCTTCCTAAGGAGAGTGAGCCGAGCATTCAGGGCCTTCAGGCTGGTGGAAAGGTGAGTGGGGCAACCCTGGCTTCCCTGTGTCTGCAGGACTCAGGGTAGAGTCTCGTGGCCAAGCTCGGAGAAGCCCTGGGCGGCCGAGAACAAGCCGCCCGCTCATCCCCGGCCTGGCTCGGCGAGCTCGGGGGGAGGCAGAAGGGCAGCTGGTCCTCGGGGTGTCCCTGGGGAGCTGGCAACACCCCTGTTTCCATGTGTCCCCCCCCAAGGCTTGGGGTCAAACCCGAGGAGGAAGTGTTTCTCCCCTTTGGGCTGCAGCCCAGCCTGTGGTCAGAGATGCTGCTCCTGGTGCGAAGGACACACAACCGTGGTTTCTGGACCTGGTGGCCTTGGGCTGAGGGCTGATGGGAGAGTGGGGGTGCCTGGGCTGGCGGGGCAGGCAGAACCCCATGTCTGTCCAGGAGGAGGGTGGACACAGCAAGGCAACCCTTGATTTAAACTCGGGCACCGAGGTTCCAGCTGTGGCCATCTGCTTGGGTGTCCTTTCTAGTGAACCCTGCCCTGCATGCTCAGCCCTTCTCTCTGCGGTTTCCTTGTGTGTGGAGGGGATTGACATCGGGAAAGACTGAAGGCAAAAGAAGAAGCGGGTGGCAGAGCGTGAGATGCTTAGATAGCATCACTAACTCAATGAACATGAATTTGAACAAACTCCTGGAGACAGTGGAGAAGAGAGGAGCCTAGCATGCTGCAGTCCATGGGGTCGCAAAGGGTTGGACGTGACTTAGTGACTGAGCAACAACAACAGCTGAGACAGTGACTAGAGCCTGGTGAGCACGAGTCCTGGGTGTGGACCGAGCCCCTCACTGCCTGAGCCCCACCTTGCAAACTCCAGCCTCAGCCACGGAAACAAGGAATTAGGGGGGAAATTTGTGAAATTATCTGGCACTGAGCAAGTGCTCAATGAAAGTGAATTAATTCTTTTTGACTTTGCCAATGCCCAGTGTTGATGTGAGTTCTTCTAGAAATTCAAGTCTGAATTCCTAATAAATAGTATGTTTATCATCTTTATCTATTGTATTGTTGTTCAGTTGCCCAGTTGTGTCCAGCTCTTTGTGACCCCATGGACTGCAGCATGCCAGGCTTCCCTGTCCCCCACCATCTCCGGGAGTTTCCCCGAATTCATGTCCATTGCATTGGTGATGCCATTCAGCCATCTCACCTATCATATTATTTGTAAATTACTTACAACCAGTTTTTCCTTGAGAACCCTTACCTGAGCTCTGCACCACTTTGTGCTCCTTCTGATTTTATTTTTCTAGGAATGCCTTGCTCAAGCAAATGGCCTGACTGTTCCTCCCGGGAACTTCTGTGGTGTCCACACTCACACCCAAGAGTCAAGCATCGCTCACTGAAAAGTCGGGTTCTCTGGGCTGTGCAGTCAGGGTCCTCACCGACCCTGATCCCCCAACCTCAGCTCCAGCCTCTGCCTGTTGAGTCTGTGGCATTTGAAGCAGGTTTGTTGTACTCTCCACATGCTGGATGGTTCAGAGAAGTTGCAAGATCTAGAATCTGAAAAAGTTTGCATTTTGCGTTTTACATTTTAAACTGTTGTTTCCGTTCTGGATTAAGATTTATATATTTGAAAATATTTCAGCTTCCTGAGCTCCTTCTAAAGTAAGTGCAGCATTTTTTTTCAAAGTTCAACATACACCTATCCTGATTTCTAAGAAGTAACCTCTGGCCATTGACTGGCCACTGACGGACGAATCCCTCATGGTCTGTAGTCCTCACGGCCACTGACAGGGTGTTGTCTTCAGTCATACCTGGACACCCTGCCCTCCAGACAAAGGCCTCCCTGGACAGCACGGGCCAGCCCTCCCGTCTCCTCTGCCTCCTCCATAGACGTGTTCCGGGCCCAGGTCTTCAGGGGCCTTGGGCTGCCAGCCCTGGGCAGTCAGAAGCTCTATGGGCCGATCGGGGTCTCCTCTCCTGGTCTCCGATGGCCCTATTGCTGGCGCCCCGTCTTGCTGGTGGTGGTGAGAGGCTGTGAGCCTCAGCCCCCGAAGGGAGAGAGGGCATCCTCTCCTCTTTGTGAGCATTCTCAGGCTTCTCGAGGGTTTCTCAGGAAGCACCAGGGCTGCAGCCTTTTCTCGGGCGGGTGGCCTTGGGCAGGGTATGCAGATGTCCCGTCCCCCCCAGCCTGGAATCAGGAAGTTTCCCTCAGGACGTCCTCAGTGAGGTCGCCCAGTGCTTCTCCTCATGGCTTCTCTTAGGGAAATGCTGCATTTTGGTGCCAGAGAACCTCTGCTGGTTCCTCTGGGTCCCCCGGGGATGGGGGACTGGGATCCTGGGTGTCCACCTGAGGTGATTTGGTTTTGGGAAACACATTCAGCTCCCACTCAAGTGGCCTTTCTTACAACCGTGAAGGCATCCACGTGCCCCTTCCTGCCTCTCTCTATCTCTCTGTCTCTCTGTCCCTGTCTTTTTGTCTGTCTCTGTCTCCCCATTCATCTCTGTGTCCTTGCTTCCGGAGCTGTGTGCCCTGGAGGCAGTTATCGGGAACTCTGCTCAAGGACGTCTGAGTCTTAGGAAAGCAGGCCCTTCTCAACTGTCCAGAGCCTCATCTGGGTCACATAACTTTTCGTTGGGTCTTGGCCAGAGATCACTTTTATTGGGAATAAGTTATTACTGCTAAGTACTGCTTTCCTAATCCTTCTGGATATTTAAGAATCTTCATCAGAAGATTCATCAGAAGCAAGTGGGCACTGGTAACTTTTGGTCTTTTCTAAATAACTTTGTCCAGGTGTAGCAAGAATTTATTTCAATACCAGGACAAGTTTTCATTGTGTTATTTACGATTCACTTATTTGCAAGTGATGGCTGGGAGGGGCGTGTTGCTAAGTCATGTATGGAAAACGTCCCCATGTTTCGGGACAGAGGTGATTTCCACACTCTGGGTGGCAGAGTCAAGAGTTTGGAGATGGGGTGTCCCCAGTGGTCCTCACTGGGCTCCAGGGGGTGCGATTCAGGGCCATGTGAGTAAAACCAGGTGTGACCTTACATCGCAGAGGGTGCATCCACCCAGCGAAAACACATCTCTGTTTTGGGAACATCCTAAGTTATGGAAACCCCGCAACATTGAAAGAGAATAAACATTCTTTAAAAATCTTAAAGTGAAATGTATTTCATCCAAATAATGTCTTGCATGATATCATCTAAACATTTTGGTTCGGATTGTTCTTTGCAATGGAGTTAATTTTATTTTTTAAATTAGTGGTTTTCTCTGGATCCCGTTCTGCCAGTTCATGGTATCATTGCTTTGATTTCTGTAGAATTTCTAAGAATCTTCATTTCAGATCCAGGAGTTCTAGTTTCCTTGTTACAGAACAAAACAGCATTTGATAGACTTTTAAAGAATCTACTACTCATGGGATTCTCCAGGAAAGCCTACTGTAGTGGGCTGCCATTTCCTACTCCAGGGGATCTTCCCCACCCAGGGATTGAATCCACACCTCTTGTACCTCCTGCATTGGCATGAACCTCCTGGGAAGCCCCTTGTCCTGACAAGCACATTCTTTCTGCCTTGAGTTACGTAGCTGGGTTGGAGGACGCAGAACCCCCAGGCCTGCTGTGCCCAGGGCTCACCCCTTCGGGGTAGGGTCAGAGGCCTGTCTGCTTTCCTCCCACCCCCGGGAGATTAGATTTGGTGTCTGGCCAAATCCTTGGCTAGAAATCTCGAACAGCAGGGCCTTTGCACTAACCGCCAAGTGTGTGGTCATCCCAGCAAATTTAAATGGACTTAACATGACTCTCATACCCCAGATGCCCCGCTGAGAGCAGAGGCTGGTTCATCAGCAGACGCCTGGGATCAGAGGGGCTCTCTCAGCAGAGTTGTTTCATCAGCACACCAATGGGGTCAGACTCAGTGAGACTGGGCAGCCTTGGCAGTGAAAGTGAAAGTCCCTCAGACATGTCTGACTCTTTGCGACCCCGTGGACTATGCAGTCCATGAAATTCTCCAGGCCAGAATACTGGAGTGGGTAGCCTTTCCCTTCTCCAGGGGATCTTCCCAACCCAGGGATCGAACCCAGGTCTCCAACATTACAGGCAGATTCTTTACCAACTGAGCCACTAAAGTGCGGAGTTGGAAGTCTGATGATGCTGGGTGCTGGGATCTGCCATGGTCTCTTCCCATCGGGAGGCATCCCCGCCCGTGCCCTGGGGACCACAGGCTGAACTTCCTGGGCTGTGCCCTGCCCAGGGGAAGAAAGTCCAAGAGAGGCCAACCTGGCTGCCCAAGGCGCTGT